GTGACTTTGGACACATCTCATAACCTCATTTTGAGCCTCAGTTTGCTTATCTGTAAAATGGGATTAACAGACCCATTTCACAGGGTTCTGTAAATGAAGCCAGCTCACACTTCAACAACTGGCATATAGTACTGTGCTGTGCTTAGTCGCAACTCTTTCCAACTCTTTGTGACCCCATGGACTGTAGCCTGCCAGGCTCCTCTGTCCATGGGGATTCTCCAGGCAAGAATACTGGAGTGTGGGTTGCCATGCCCTCCCTCAGAGGATCTTCCCAACCCAGGGATCAAACCCAGGTCTCCCACATTGTAGGCAGATTCTTTACTCTGAGCCACCAGGGAAGCCCAAGAATACTGGAGTGGGTAGCCTCTCCCTTCTCTAGGGGGATCTTCCCGACCCAGGAATCAAACCAGGGTCTCCTGTGTTGCGGGCATATTCTTTACCAGCTGAGCTACCAGGGAAGCCCCTGGCACCAATAAATATCAAATAATTTAAGAAATAATCTTTTATCTATGCCAATAAATAGCAATGTGATCAATAATTTAAACAATTTTGGTGGGCTTGGTCAAGTTTTCTAAGTATTTGAAAATAGTCTTCATTTATTCAGTAAATGTTTACTGAGTACCTACTGTGTACAAAGCCCTGGGCCAGATGCTGGTCTTTGCTAATGTTATGATTAGGGGGTAACTAAGTTGCCTGTGCAGTCCCTAAGCATTAGCGTCGGACAGGAGGCGGAGGGGGGCCGAGGAGGGCTGGTGGCTGAGAGAGGGGAACCCAAGCTCAGCCACGTAGTGCTTATCTGTGGATCTCCAAGGAGTGTGGCCCCAGAATGGTCTGCACTTTGAAGGCTCTTTCTGGGTCACGTGCCCCGAGACATTCTGCCTGACTCCTTGGAAGTAGGGAGCCTGGTTTTAGAACTGGGAAGTCTTGCAGGAGCCAGGAGGAGGTCGCTCCTCCACTTCCATAAGTTGCTGCAGAGGCTTGAGGGGGCCACCCACGACCCCCCGGCCCAGGACGGGAGAGGAGCAGCCGCACCGGCTCACTTGGGCAGCCGTGTGGGTCCCAGCCCTTCAGCTGTTGCTGGGAGGGAGGCGAGGGGAGCTGGGCACTTGGCTTCCGTCTCTGCCAGCAGATGGGCTTCTGCCTGTAGCCAGAGTCTGTTCTTCCATCAGCCTCCCCGCAGCCCCTTCGGAGACGTAGCACTGAGCCGGCTGGGCCTGGGGAGTCTGGCCCACGCTTCTCCACACTCTTGTGCACCATGCAGCACTCTGACGTGATGACGGTGGCTCAGAAACTCTGACTCAGGGGCTGAGGGGCCCCGTGTCTGAGCACACCTGTAACCCATCTGGGGAGCGCTAGCTTAGCCAGTTCCCCAACCTATTTTTATTGATGTGAAATATGAGGCTCGAGAAGGGGGAAGGACCTGCCCAAGGTCACATAGCATGCAAGTGACATCAGGACTGGTGTTCATTTCTTGACTTCTGACCCTGTGCTGTATCTGTTACCTCTCCTCAAGACTCTTTCCGCTTTCTTTTCTGACCTTCCACTCCGGAGAACGTACTTAAGGTGCAAGGGAATGTAATTCTCCTAAGAGACCATTCTTCCCCAAATCTCAAAAAATTAGGCTTCATCTTCACCTCCCCCTTGTCATCACCAAGCACCCTCTTGTTCATAGAAGCCTTTGGCACCTGCCCCTAGGCATCCTCCCCTGGAGCAAGTCTGTCCATCATTAGGAGTGAGCTCAGTGACTCAATGGGCTACGAGTTCTACCCCCAGGCGCATCAGCCCCTTTACGGGTCTCCCCCTCAGCCGCCCACTACCAAGGTCACACACTGGATCTTGCCCTTGCCTGGAGGTCACCTGATAGAGCCCCCGACTTTCTGGCCACAACCTCCTAGCCCCTGGCTTGTTATCTCAGACTCTCACACAGCCATTTTTAACCTTGCTGAGACCTTTGGTTCATATGGACGTTGATCCTTTGGGACCTGTGTTCTAGAGTCTTCGGTCCACTGGCACCTCTACTTTCTTGCCATCCATGACTTTATTCTGCCTACTCTTCGAATCCAGAGAGGTTCCATGTTCCATCACTTTAAGAACTCTCCTGCTGAATTCAAGGATTCTTTAATATCCACAAATCAATCAATGTAATACACCACATTAACAAATTGAAAGATAAATACCATATGATTATCTCAATAGATGCAGAAAAAGCCTTTGACAAAATTCAACATCCATTTATGATAAAAACTCTCCAGAAAGCAGGAATAGAAGGAACATACCTCAACATAATAAAAGCTATATATGACATACCCACAGCAAACATTATCCTCAATGGTGAAAAACTGAAAGCATTTCCCCTAAAATCAGAAACAAGACAGGGGTGCCCACTCTCACCACTACCATTCAACACAGTTTTGGAAGTTTTGGCCACAGCAATCAGGGCAGAAAAAGAAATAAAAGGAATCCAGATAGGAAAAGAAGAAGTGAAACTCTCACTGTTTGCAGATGACATGATCCTCTACATAGAACACCCTAAAGACTCTAACAGAAAATTACTAGAGCTAATCAATGAATATAGTAAAGTTGCAGGATATAAAATTAACACACAGAAATCCCTTGCATTCCTATACATTAACAATGAGAAAACAGAAAGAGAAATTAAGGAAACAATATCATTCACCATTGCAACCAGAAGAATAAAATACTTAGGAGTGTATCTACCTAAAGAAACAAAAGACCTATACATAGAAAACTATAAAACACTGATGAAAGAAATCAAAGAGGACACAAATAGATGGAGAAATATACCATGTTCATGGATTGGAAGAATCAATATTGTGAAAATGACTATACTACCCAAAGTAATTTATAGATTCAATGCAATCCCTATCAAGCTACCAACGGCATTTTTTACAGAACTAGAACAAATAATTTCACAATTTGTATGGAAATACAAAAAACCTCGAATAGCCAAAGCAATCTTGAGGAAGAAGAATGGAACTGGAGGAATCAACCTGCCTGATTTCAGGCTCTACTACAAAGCCACAGTCATCAAGACAGCATGGTACTGGCATAAAGACAGAAATATAGATCAGTGGAACAAAATAGAAAGCCCAGAGATAAATCCACTTACCTACAGACACCTTATTTTCGACAAAGGAGGCAAGAATATACAATGAAAAAAGACAACCTCTTTAAGAAGTGGTGCTGGGAAAACTGGTCAACCACTTGTAAAAGAATGAAACTAGAACACTTTCTAAGACCATACACAAAAATAAACTCAAAGTGGATTAAAGATCTAAATGTAAGACCAGAAACTATAAAACTCCTAGAGGAGAACATAGGCAAAACACTCTCCGACATAAATCACAGCAAGATCCTCTATGACCCACCTCCCAGAATATTGGAAATAAAAGCAAAAATAAACAAATGGGACCTAATTAAACTTAAAAGCTTTTGCACAACAAAGGAAACTATAAGCAAGGTGAAAAGACAGCCTTCAGAATGGGAGAAAATAATAGCAAATGAAGAAACAGACAAAGGATTAATCTCAAAAATATACAAGCAACTCCTGCAGCTCAATTCCAGAAAAATAAATGACCCAATCAAAAAATGGGCCGAAGATCTAAACAGACATTTCTCCAAAGAAGACATACAGATGGCTAACAAATACATGAAAAGATGCTCAACGTCGCTCATTATCAGAGAAATGCAAATCAAAACCTCAATGAGATACCATTACACACCAGTCAGAATGGCTACTATTCAAAAGTCTACAAGCAATAAATGCTGGAGAGGGTGTGGAGAAAAGGGAGCCCTCTTACACTGTTGGTGGGAATGCAAACTAGTACAGCCGCTATGGAGAACAGTGTGGAGATTCCTTAAAAAACTGGAAATAGAACTGCCATACGACCCAGCAATCCCACTCCTGGGCATACACACTGAGGAAACCAGATCTGAAAGAGACACATGCACCCCAATGTTCATCACAGCACTGTTTATAATAGCCAGGACATGGAAGCAACCTAGATGCCCATCAGCAGACGAATGGATAAGGAAGCTGTGGTACATATACACTGTGGAATATTACTCAGCCATTAAAAAGAATTCATTTGAATCAGTTCTAATGAGATGGATGAAACTGGAGCCCATTATACAGAGTGAAGTCAGCCAGAAAGATAAAGACCAATACAGTATACTAATGCATATATAAGGAATTTTAAAAGATGGTAACGATAACCCTATATGCAAAACAGAAAAAGAGACACAGATATACAGAACAGACTTTGGGACTCTGTGGGAGAAGGCGAGGGTGGGATGTTCTGAGAGAACAGCATTGAAACAAGTATACTATCAAGGGTGAAACAGATCGACAGTCCAGGTTGGATGCATGAGACAAGTGCTCAGGGGTGGTGCACTGGGAAGACCCAGAGGGATGGGATGGAGAGGGAGACGGGAGGGGGGATCGGGATGGGGAACACATGTAAATCCATGGCTGATTCATGTCAATGTAAGGCAAAAACCACTACAATATTGTAAAGTAATTAGCCTCCAACTAATAAAAAGAAATGGTGTGTGTGGGGGGCGGGGGGGGGGGGAGGAGGAGAGATAAAGAACTCTCCTGCTAGTATCCTAAACTCTCCTGACTCATTGTCTTTTTATTGTTCCAGTCTGGCAAAGTCCCAGTTCTGGATTAACCCCTCTATCTGCTGCTTTCTGCCTGCATCCAGTCAACAAAGCTGCTAGAAAAAGACTCAAAGTGAGGCAGATTGGGACCTGTAAAAATTCACCATCACCAACCCAACTTATTCTTCAGAAGTGTTCCTACTACATTCCTATGGTTATCTCCCTCTCAACTCTCCACGATGACTAGTTCACACCTTCCTTCCCAAAACTCTACCTACGCCCTCACTCTCAGCTCAAGACCTCGCTTCCTGCTTCACAGAGACACAGGAGCCATCAGGAGAACACCCTCAACTCTTGCATCAAGCCCGGAGGCCCACCTGCCTCTGCCCAGTCCTGCTCCTCCCGCCCGTCTGAGCCGAGGCGGGAGGCGGTGTCGCCCCTGCGGCCCAGCTCCCGCTCCGTCTGTGCCACAAACCCTGTCCTCTGGTCTCGGGACGTCCTTCCAGGCATGCTCATGCCTCTCGCGTCTCCAGCCACAACAGAAAGCGTCCTCGATCCCAGCGTCGCCTCCTTAGGGGCTGTGTCTTGAAAGGACCGGCTGCACGGGCTTCCGTTTCTGCCCTCCTACCGCTCCCTCGCCCCGCCTCCTCCGTGAAACAGCTTTCCATGGCGCTAAGTGCAGGCAACAGTTTTTAGTTCTCAGAACCGTTTTTCACTCCTTTCTGACACTTCTTTTCCCCCGGCTTCTCTGACCCCCTATTCCTGGCTTTTCTGGTTATTCCAGGTCTTCTTTGCTGACTCATCCTTCCCTTCTCTGCCTCTCAACGTTGGCAATGCCTGTAGTCTGGCTCACGGTCTTCTTTCCTGACGGGGTAACTGTCCCTAGACGATTTCATGACAGGCTTCTCCTGTCAGCCCTGTGCATGGTTGTCGCCCGCACGTTTCCTCTGAGTTCCACGTCCCTGTGTCCACCTGCCTAGTTGACGAAGTGGGGTGTCGCGAGAAACCTCAGCCGTGCGTATCTAAAGACAGAGTCGTGGTCCTCCTGAATCTCCCCTGCCCCTCAGCTCCCCTGCCTGGACCCCTCCAGCGTTGCCTGGTTTTTGAATGCCACCACCTCAAGCCAGTTCTGTACTGGGAGTCCTTGTCAACTCTTCCCTTTACCCCTTTATGGATGCACTTGCTAAGTGCATCCACAGGTCCTGGCCAGTCTCTGGAACAGCACCCATGTCCCCCCACTCCCCATCTTCACACTCCCCTTCATACTGCCGTCACCTCTCGCCTCGGACACTGGAATCCCCTTCTGATTTGAGTATCTACATCTGCCCTTGCCAGTCCGGTCTCCAAATAGCTGCTGGAATGGTCTTTTAAGGATGCAGATCTGATCTGGTCCCAGCTTTTCTGTACTCTCAAAACTCCTCAATGATTCCCAGTGCCCCTACCACCCTCATGCTCTACACTCTGCACACTGCCTTCTTTCCATTCTTTGCTAAACTCTTTGCCTCACGGTTTTCACACATGCTGTATCCTGGCCTTTTGTCACTCTTCCCATTCCATACTTCTCCCTCAATTTTAGTTAGCTTTCAGATCTCAACTCAGATAACCCTTCTTTCAAAAGGCTTCCCCAGGGTACCTGCAGAATTTTTTCAGGTCCCTGTTGGACACACTCATAATGCCCTGTATGCTTGGGTGCTTGTTGGACAAGTGTCCATTTCTGCCAGAGGACTGTGACCCTGTGAGGGCAGAGACACTGGCTGTTAAGCTCACTTTTGTAACACAGATTAGGTGTACAAAAAGTATTTGAGGAGTGAATTAGTTAGTGAAAGATCTTTAAATACAAAAAGGATCACAAGAGAAGGGTGAAGGAAAAAGCCAGCCCCAAGCGCAGCGTTGGTAGACCAGATGGCCAGAACACCTGTGTTCCCCTGTGAAAGGAAGCAGGGCTGATGGTCCTATCTCCTTTCCCTTCACTCTCCTACCCCAGCTAAAGACCTTATCCAGCTTCAGAGGTTTACTCTGGTTTTCCAGCCAGAGGGGTAGACGACTCTTCACCAATAGTTCTTTCAGGAACAATAGCAATAATCTTCCACATCTGGACAGTTGTTTGCAACCTACAAAGCTCTTTCACATATGTCATCATAGTGTTTTTTAAAGGCCTTTGAGCCACCCCTTTGAGGAAACTGGGGTATGTATTATGATCACTTGTTTCATATCAGAGGAAACTACTGCTCAGAAAGGTCCAGTGGCTTACTTGCAGCCATGGGGCTGGTCAGCGAAGAGTTAAGCTCAAACCTAGTGCTTGTGGCCCCAGTTCTGTGCTCTCTGCACTGTTCCATTCATGCTAGTATTCGAAAAAGAGACAAGTTCTGGGTTATCGACAGTAGTGGAAGGAGTGGTACCAAAGAAAAACAGACAAACCTACACGGTGGGGAAGGAGGAGGTGGGTTGGAATGTGATGTGCAATCTGGTTTGTGTAGATTTACCTTCTACGCAGCTCAGGGTGATCCCAGTGGGCTCTGTGGAGCCTGCACGGGCCTCTCACCTTTCCCAGGCACTTAGAGTCCCTCTTTCAGCACAGACCAGCAGGACCCATCAGGCTCTGGGGACCCCAGGAGCAGAGTGCCGGGGGAATCCAGAGGAAGGAACAAGGTGGCTGAGGTGGGCACGGGGCAGCGGCCCCCACACTCACCTCCAGAGGGAGTGTTCTGGGCTCCCAGGGCATCCGTGGCTCCCTGCTTGGCTCCTGCCTGCTTTGCAGCCTCCTTCCCTACCACTCTCTGCCCCCTAAATGCGCAAGTAAGCCTTCTCTGTCGCTCCGCACCGTAAGCTTTGCTCTGCTCTTGCCCTGCCTGGGTGCCTTTCATGCACACTCATCTGGTCAGCTCTCCCTGAGCTTCAGTACTCAGCTCTGGTGACATCTTTCCCAGGAAAGCTTCCCCGAAGCCTGGAGACCTCTTCCCTTGTACTGAGCACACTCAGCATGCCATATGAAAAATCTCTTTCCCGTGTCTTCCTATCTCGTTGGATTGGAAGCTCCTTGAGAACAGAGGTCTCTGTGACTTACTGATGTGGTGCTCCCAGCAACTGGCAGGAAGTAACAACAGGTAATGAAGGCTTGCCATGTTCTAGATGCTGTGTGAAGTGCTCTGTATTAATTCATTGAACCTTAAAAATAACCTTATCCTGTAGGTACTATATACCCTATTTTTAGAAAAACGTTTTGTCTTGGAATAAGTATAGATTCACTGGAAGTGCAAAGAAACGTACCAGGAATTCCTGAGTATGCTTCATCCAGCCTCCCCCAACATTAACATCTTATGTGGCTATAGTTCAATATCAAAACCAGCAGACTGGCACGGATGAAATTCATAGAGTTTATCCAAATTTCATTTGTGTGTATCGCTTTGTGTAACCACCACAATCAAGATCCTTAACTGGACGATCACAGGGCTCCCTGCTGCTACCTTCACAGCTACACACCCCATCCCTAATGTCTGCCAGCCTCTGACACGTCCCCCATCTCTGTGGTGGTGTTATTTCACAGGTGTTACATCAGTGGGATTGTACAGTCTATATCCTTCACCATTGGCTTCTTTCCCAGCAGCCCAGTTTCCTTGGGCTACAGTCAGCTTGTTCGCTGTATCGGTAGTTGGCTCCTCTTTGTTGCTGAGTGGTGGTCCCTGATGGGGATGTGCTCCAGTTTAATTACTCACCCCCTGAAGTACATTTGCGTTCCTCCATTTTCAGGTGAGAAAACTCACTTGCCTAGGGTCACATAACTAGTAGCTGGCATTTAATAAGGGTTTAGTAATAGGCACCTAATAGATGTCTCTTCTCCTAAGCTCAGCTGAGGGCACTTTGTGCGCTTCTGTTAGTTCCCAGCCTGGTGTCTTACACATAGTAGGTGTTCAGTAATATTTGCCGTGAGGCTGTGGATGCAGTTGCATCTGTGTTTACATAGGTAGCAGTAATGTCTAACTTATCCCTGTGCCTAGACATTTGCAAGAGAGACATTTGATAGCTTACATAACTGCACTTTCAGTTTCACTTGGAATATCAGAAAAGGAAAATTGGGGCAGTAAATATGATCACATACAGGGCTGGCATTTTATTGCCTAAAATGCCCAAAGCTGTTGGTTCCAAATTAATACATGCCGTATTTGCATGGTATTTTGCATCTGATTTGCAGGTGGCTTGTTTTAGCACAATGGAGAGAGGCCCTTCCGGCTCCTGCTTGTCACCCCGGCCCTCCCAGCTGCTCCAGGCAGGCCGGCTGGTGCAGGCTGCGCAGACCACAGTTGGGGCCTGAAAGTACTCGCCCTGGGCCAAGAGGGCCACCGGGGTGTTTTTGCCCATTGAAGAGGACCGGAGTTGTCCCTTAGCAGGGGCCTCTGGAGGTTTAATTAAGGAGGATTTGGGGAGCAGCTGGAAGCCTCAACCTCAGGTGTGGAGCCAAATGCGATTAAGTGACTGGAAGGGCCCCGCAAGGTGGCTTGTCTCCACCTGGGCACGGCACCCAACGGACGGGCTTGCTCAGGTCCCCGTGCCATCCCTCTGTCGGGAGAGGAGAGGTGGCAAGAGAGCCAGTCCCAGCCTCCAGGAGTCCAGTCAAGGCCTCACCAAGGGTGTGTGTTGGAGGGTCAAACAAAAAAGGTGAGCCCTGCCCTCAAGGAACTGCTAATGGTGTTATTCCAGCCTCAAAGCAGTTATTTAAACACCAAACTAAATGGCACAGGCCCCCACACCCGTGACCGTTGGTGGAAAAGAGAGGCTGTTAACTGGAGACAGTGTCCCAGAGGAGGTCAACCTGGTGGGGTGCGCCTCTCGGGGGACGCTGCTCCGTGACTCAGAGGCTGAGTGGGGAAACACTAGAAAAAAGCAAGTGTGGGTCCAGCGTGACGTTCACAGAGTCAGGCCAAGACTGCAGAGTCCCTGGGACTTTTCTGCAGGCCGCTTGGGACTGTGTCCTCAGACCCCTGGGAAAGCGTGACCACTCTCTGTGGTCAGGGCCACTCCAAAGGAGCAGCTGGCTTGCGTCCCTCAAGAGCGCGGAGTGGTGGGTGGAGAGGCAGCGTGGATGTTGGGAGGAGGGCTCTCTGGGGGCTCGGCCGACACCGGGGAGAGGGTGTGGCGTGTCTGATCTGGGGCCACTGTTCGAAGGACTCGGGTTGGATTGCTTAGGGACTGAGTGGAGAGAAGAGATCCCAGCGCTCGGTGGTCACCGGGGTGGTGCTGCCAGTGTGATGGGGGGGCCAGGGAGGGCGGCCCTAGATGGGGGTGAGAACCGGGAGCACGGAAGACGGGGAGAGGGTTCCCCGGTGAAAGGGCTCCTCCCCGTGTGGCTGATTCCGTCAAGGACTCCCAGAGGCTGAAAGCGAAGAAAATGCTGCCAAGTTGAGAAGAATGGTGAGACTGGAAAGCAGCTCATATAGCACTTTTCTAAGTCTCTATTTAGGAGGAAGAGCAGACCAAAATGGCATTTTTATTGTTGGTTTTAAAGGTGGAGAGGGTGAGTGAAGGACTGAGTTTCCTGGAGGTGGGAAGGGATGAGGTTGATGTTTAAAGGAAACCTCTCTCCTTAAGACGGAGCGAAGGAAGAGAAGACGGGCTGCTGGGCGAGGTGGGGACGGAGGCTCAGTGCGGGGGTGGTGGTGGGGGCACGGGAGGTCATGCCTGCCCAGCCCGTCAGCCCCACCGGTTGGCAGGGTCTCTTGTCAGAGGCCAGGGAGAAGCAGGTCTGGGAAACGGCACCCAGAGTGTGCCAGGGTGGCAGTGAGAGAGGGCTGAGAGGGTGGCAGCGAGCCGGCCGGGGAGCCTGCCCCTGCAGGCCTGTTAGGCGGCTGGTCTGCTGGCTTCTCTGTCTTCTTCCTGCAGTGCTTTGGGGGGAAAGGAACAAGGCGGGGTAGGGAAAATCACTAATCTTTTCATTAAGACGGGGTGGCGTTGATACCAACAGTCTTTGCCTTACTTCCTGGGGCCTGGACTCCTAGACTTCTCCAGAGACTTTCCCAGCCTGGCCTCCTCCTGCGAACAGCCCAGCCAGGTGGCCCATCCATCTGGCCTTGCCATCTAAGGAGTCTTCCTCCTCTCAGAGGCTGAGGTCATTTCTTCTTGTCCAGACTTATCAGTGGATCCGGTTCTAAAAGAGTCCCATTTGCCCTCAACTGCTCTCTGGGCCCTGTTTTCATTTTTCTCCCCTCGTTGGTCTTGCAACAGCAGCTAAATAGCCTGCGAGAGGGTCAGGCGGGGAAGATGAATGCTGGTCTGTGGGGGCTGCATCCTGCCTCTCCGTTAAGGAGTCGATAGAAGGCGGGAAGCAAAGAATGGATAATCCAAGGAAACAGCAACAGACGCAACATGCACCTTGTAGGATAATCCAAACAGCGCTTCCGCTTGTGCTTGGAGAGTGCTGTGATGACTCGAGTGCACCGATTTGCTGGTCTAGTTAGGTCTGATTTGCAGAGCACTGGTGCATTGCCTAGAGGAGAGGCAGCAATAAGCAAAGGATTGTTGGGGAGAAGCCATCTGGCGAATGATCGCCAAGTGCATGCAGAAGCAGGACGGAGGCTCGGTGAAGGCCGCCTCCCGGCTGGTCTTCAAAGCAGTCCAGATCCTGCAGGGCGCGCCAGGACACAGTACTCCACACGTGTTGTGTGTTGACCCCCAAAGGCCAGGCTAACCAGGGAGAATGCCTGCACTTGACTCTCTCCCTCGAGATAGGAACAAAGAAAAAAGGAAAAAAAAAAAACACCAGATTTTTCCCGTGCTTAACCCTAACCCCACCTCGTGGCACTTTCCTCCCTGTCCCCACCCCAGGCCTGGGAGATGTCATGTTTGGTCGCCATCCTCTAGTGCTTCTGGAGGCCCAGGACCCAGCGCGGTGCCGCCAGAGGACCCAGGCCTGTTCCCCTGCCCATCTCCCTGTCACAGCTCCTGGGGACACACACTTGCTGTGTGCAAATTGCCAGAGTCCAGGCACACTCCAGATGAAATTGGCCAATTTTAGCTACAAATGAAAAGACAAATGAGATGGAAATTGCACAGAACAAGCCTAGTCCTCGTCAGTAGGTATCAGTCCTGACACATGGAGTGGTGCAGCCTGTTCAGGCCCTTCCCTCCCGCTGAGGTCCACAGGGCTCTCCTGTGCTGAGAAGCCCGGCTCCTTCGCTCCCAGCCCAGCAGAGGGGCGGTCTGATCGGCTTCCAGAGGAAGCCAGCCAGGGTGTGAGCGTGTGTGAGATGGTGATGGGGTGGGGGGTACAGGTAGGGGACACAAAGCAGATACCGAAATAGCACCATGCAGAAAGAAGAGTTCATTATTCCAAAAAGGAAAAAAAAAAAAAAAAAATGAACATCTGTGTACCCAGCCCTGTGCTAAGTGTTCACACTGTAAAGGTAGAGAGCCCTATGGGCTCCCAGCCCAGGGGACATGAAGAGAGAAAACGAGAAGATAGGGCCAGAGACAGCAAGTGCAAGAGGACAAGTCTGGCAGAGGGAGGAGACACTGGGAGGAAGAAGCAGGGATGGCAGGAGAGCAGGGGTCAGCTCACGCAGCGGGGACGGAGCAGTCTGAGCTCTACAGCCGGCCAAGGTTGTTTCAAGACCAGGGCTGTCCTGGAGCCTTAGGTACAAAGCAGAGAGGGAGAGCTGGGAGGCGGCGGCCCGCCTGTCCCCTGGACCGGGAAGGGGCAGCCAGGAGGAGAGCTTACCAGTGCTTTACAGACGGCAGCTAATTGGTTCCAGGTGAAGTGTCAAGGAGTAGGGGTGACAGGGAGTAAGCGCACCAATCTAGTGAACGAGGAGAGCTAAGAAGCCAAATGTTTGAAGGATAGTTTACTTGCTCTTTGTGAAGAGGAGTCAAAGACCCGGGAGTTCTCAATCCCTGGGTTGAGGGGCCTTACACATTTTCTGAGCTGAGGGAATTGCAGAGAGGTGGGGAATGCAAATTTGTTTTCATATGGATGTAAGCTAAATACAGCTTTTGTAATAATAACAGTAGCAGACACTTGTAAAGCACTTACCAGGAGCCAGGCTATTGTAAGCACTTAACCGAGCTATTGTAAGCACTTAACCGTATTAGTTCATTCCCATAGTAAATATGCTGGGGTCTGGAGTTCAAAGCCAAACACATGTAACTTAAAAGCCATCCATTTCCTTTCTTCCTCCCCACTCTGAAAGTTGATTAAGAACTGGTGGCCACAGAAGGAACTCTGAGCCAACTCTCCCTTACTTGGGTTAGCATGAAGTAGAGGGCTGGGGATTTGGGAGTAGCTCCAGGAGGCTTTGGATGATCTGATCTTGGTGGGTCAGACAGACTCCCCGCTCTGCCTCTGCATTCTCTGAGCTGAAGTGCTTCAAGCCAGGCCCCTTGCTAGGGTGGGGCTTGGTGCTCATGGAGAGAGGAGATCCAGGAGACACTCTGAGGGGTGAAACTGGCCGTTAGGGTGAGTATGGCCAGTTCTCCAGGGACTGCTCTCTGCCCAGAGCCAGAAGTGATGTGCATCCCACCACTGTGAATGTCTTTAAGCCTGACTGTCACCAGGGAACAAGTTTCTATAGTGATAGAGATACGCTAGACCCTTGACATTATCAACATCATAGCCCGTCATGAATCAGTGGATTAAAAACTACCCTATAATTTCCCCCATAAAACATAGTATGGCTGAGAAATGTAATGAGGATGACTAGTGAGGGCAAAGTTACCTAACTCTCAGCTTGCCAGAGGTTTCCCTGAATCACACTCAGCAGCCTTCAAGTCAATGCCATGCACTATTTCATGTCAGATGTGGGCTGGTGGTTGCAGTGTAAGCCACTTTATGATAAACTTGATAATGCCAAGTGTCGACTGCTTTTCAAACAGCAGGTCGCACAGAGGGGCTGTGATGGAACGGGGTAGACTGAACTCACCCATGCTTCTCTCTGCTGCTGCATGTAAACAAGAGTAGAGGGGGGTGCAAGCCCACAGGGCAAGTGACAGGAGACCAAAGTGAGTCAGTGACGTCTGCAGCTTTGGAAGTTGAAAAGCTGACTGACTTGGCTTGATGGAGAAAGTAGAACCGAGAGATCCCCGATCGACAGATTCCTGCCAGTGAACTACAGACAGGCTCAGAAATCAGCGACATCTGACCATAGGGTAAGGAGTAGGGCCAGAAGCAGAAGAGTGATTCCTCACCCATTTCACCACCTAGTAGCATCCTGGAGAGAACTTTATTCTCCAGAGAGGACCGAACCCAAGAAGTGCTGGCTTGGGAACGCGGGTACAAGCATGGGTGGAGATGAAGCAATTTATTGGAAAATGGGCATCGCTGAATGTTTGCAAGCCAAATGGGGAGATCCCCTTGCCCTGTTCTTCCTGTTGGCTCTAGGAATGCCGGTGAATGGGCAAATAGTGACATTTGGGGGACTCCATTGAAACCTCCCTTGGTGAGATGCACACAGAGCTTCCAGTCAGCTTCCAGATGCCCCACTCGTAAATACGAGCCCTTGGCCAAGCACCACTAAATTTTTAAGGAAGGCGTCCAGAATAAGAAAGCATTAGCCAAAATAAACATAAAACAAATTGAAGACAGTAAACATATACAGGGAGCAAAAGAATATGTAAACACCACCACTGTCACAATTGAAATCCTCAGAAAAATAAGGGAGGGTTTTTTATGCCCAAAGAACAAAGATCCTTTAAAAAAAGAATTGAGATATCATTCAATTTATAAGTTGTTCCTTTAAAAATGAACAGTTTCATGGGTTTTAGTGGTACCCACATGGCCAGATCACCACTATGTAATTATGGAACGTTTTCATCATCCCCAAAGAAACCCCACATCCGTAAGTAGTCACTCTTCATTCTTTCTTCCCCAGCCCCTGGCAGCCACTAATCTACTCTCTGTCTCCATCCGTTTACCTATTCTGGACATTTCATAAGTGGAATCATGCAATATGCAGCTTTTGTGTCTGGCTTCTTTCACTTAGCATAATGTTTTCAAGATTCATCCATATTGTGGCATTATCAGTACGTCACTCCTTTTTATGACTGGATAATATTGCATGTGTGGATATTTCACATTTTATTTATCCATGTATCAGTTGATGGACATTTGGGTAATTTGCAGTGAAAATGCAAAGTATAAGAATGAACTCTTACAAACTTAAAATATACTCCGTATTTCTTAAAGGAAAATGATTACGTAATTTCCAGATCACAAATCCATTAGGTGGCCAGCACAGTTAGTGACAAAAGGCCCTTACAAAGACACGTTTTAAAATTCCAAAATATTGGTGATAAAGTGAAGATTCTGTAGGCATTAGGATAACAGCAGACTTCTCAACAGAACCCTGGCAGCCATTAGATAATGGAAAGATTCCTCCGAACATAGGAGGGAAGGTTTTTAAAATTTGAAGTTATATTTTCAGTCAATCCATCAATCAATTATGGAGATTAAGACATTTTCAAGTGTGCCAATTATTAAGAAACTCACCTCTTGTTGAAAAAAGTAGCTTGCCAGTGTGCCCCACCAAAACAAGAAAGATGACGTGAAACCCAGGGAGAGGAACAAGCAGTAAGGATATTTGCTACCGTAGGAAAAAGCCTGAAAGGACTTGTACTAAAATATTAGTATTGGTTAGTTGCATTTGGGGGAGAAGGCAATGGCACCCACTCCAGTACTCTTGCCTGGAGAATCCCATGGACGGAGGAGCCTGGTAGGCTGCAGTCCGTGGGGTCGCTAAGAGTCGGACACAACTGAGTGACTTCACTTTCACTTCTCACTTTCATGCATTGGAGAAGGAAATGGCAACCCACTCCAGTGTTCTTGCCTGGAGAATCCCAGGGCTGGCAGAGTCTGGTGGGCTGCCATCTATGGGATCGCACAGAGTCGGACACGACTGAAGCGACTTAGCAGCAGCAGCAGCAGCAGCAGCAGTTGGAATTGGGAGGTGGAAAGGGAGATTATTTAAACCTTCTCCATGTGTTTTTCTCTTTGCAATAACAATGCTATATCGCACCTACATGACTCCCTGTGTGTCGTCTCATGCTGAGACGAAGGCAGGAGCGAGGCACAGAGGGCAGAGGAGAGTCCCTCTGGGGGCTCCCCTCCATCACCCCCACTGCAGCGCCCCTGTGACACGCTGCAGCCTCTGGGGCTGTGTCGGACCTGCGTCTGTCTGTCTGTCTGCTCTGCTAGGCCGAGAACTTCCCAGCTAAGAGCTGGCTCTTGCCCATCGTGTATACCCCTGGTGCCCTCAGAGAGCAGGCACAGAATCAGAGCTTGAATGAATCTATGGAACGAAAAAGGGAGGAGGAAAGCAGAGACTCCCCACCACACGAAGACCACAAAGTGAGTAAGGCCTGGCAGTAGGGCCGCCGTCAGAGAGTCACAGACCTGCTGGCCTGGAGATGAGGTCAAGGATGGGAGGCAGCCCGGGCTTCCTCCACCGGGGCCAGTGGAGTCAACTCCTGGAGTAATAATTCCCCAAACACAGAACTGCACCACTGAGAGGACCAGTGGTCACGTAGCTTTTATCTTATAGACCAGATTCGGAGGCCAGGATCCGGTGAGTGCCCCACTCGGGTCTCTTCCTGCTCTGGGCCTCAGTTTGTTACCCTGAAAAGCCAGGAAGCAAAGTGAGGTGACTGCGGTGAGCTCTGACCACCCGAGGCTCTTAGAACACGCATCCCAGGAGGCTGAAGACCAGCTCACCTTACTTAGGTGTGGAGGGTAGAGGGTGGGTAAAGGCTCCGTCTCCCAGCCAGCTCCTTCCCTCTGTGGAGGCAACTTCTGAGATAGGTGCGGTGCTGGACCACGTGGGCCAGCTTTCCCCCAGGAGGCAGACGCTGGCCTGGGACAGCATATTGGACCCAGCCACCTACATCAGAATCACCTGCTTAGAAGTGAGTTCAATCTGCAGGTTTCTGGGCTCCACCCCTGGGCTTGCACAATCAGGGACTTACAGTTGCTTGTTAACAAGCACCTCAACTGATTCTTGGGTGCACTCTGATTTGAGAAATGGATTCAGGGGGCTGGGATTAGGGTGGGAGGTTCAGTGCTCATAATCGGGAAATAGCTCCTGTTCATCCCGTACCTACTCCGCGTGGGGCACTTTCGGACATGTCTAATCTTTACAACCACCAGCCCACAAAGTAGGTATTACTCTAATTGTACAGAAGAGAAGATTGAGACCCAGAACATCACACAGCTAGAGAGACAAAGACCAGAATTTTAGCTGAGGTCATTCTTTCCTGTCCTACTACGCAACTCTGGCTCTCGCGTGCCTCCAGTGTTTGGAGGGAACCCGCTGCACCGGCAGACGACTGGGTCGTGTAAAGGCGGGGCTGCCCTGGGCGGGGGGGGCGTGAGGGGCACTGCGTCTCTTCTCAGGCTTCCTTCAGGCCCCTGGGCGCGTTTTGAGGGGGCGTGAAGTCATCTGCGACCTCTGTCTCCCCTTCTTCCCCGCCTCTCATTGTCTCGCTAATTAAAGACGCCTCAAAGAACTGCCCTGCTGTGAGCCGCTGGCCACCTGCCCACACCCTCTGGGGAAGCAGCGGCAAGGCGGCAGACACCTGGGCCCTGGCGGGGCAGCAGGCCGAGAGAGCAGGGCAGAGGGCAGCGGCCGAGGAGGACGGTGTTCCGGGAGGAGCCTGCCAGCCCCTCCGGCGGGTCCCTGTCCTGAGGAGTCCCCACAGCTCCGTCGCCTGCTCTGGTATTTGCCATGACTCCCCCCGGGACGCGTTCGGTGGAGTCACCGGAAAGCCCCACCTCGGAGCCTTTGCCTGCTGTCCCCTCTGCCTCCCAGTGACCAACCGTTTGGTTTGCTCGGGACTGAGGGCTTTGGGGATTCTGGACTTTAAAGCTGGGAACCGGGGACAGATTGGTCATCGTCCTCGCTCCCCCATCCTCATTCGGGTCTGGGTCCACTAGGCCCTCCTCAGAGAGAGGTCTTCCCAGACCCCAGCATCCAGAACCACAAGTCACGATCCTGTCACTCTTTGGTTCCTGGATTGGTTTCTATTGCTCCTGTAACAAATCACCCCAAATTTACTGGCTTAAAGCAACATGCATTGTTGGCTCACAGCGTGTAGGTCAGCAGTCCATCTTGGTGGTTCTTGTGGTTTCTCTACTTCAGGTTTCAAAAGGCCGAAATCAAGCTGTCAGCCAGGCTGGATGCCTCATCTGGAGGCTCTTGGGAGAACCCACCTCGGAACTTAGGCGGGGGCAGGTGGAGCCCAGCTCCTTGCGGGCCTGGGACTGACGTCCCTTCTTCAGTGCTGGCTATCAGCATCCAGAGGCCTCTCCAGCCCTGGGCATAGCCCCTGTGTCTCGGAACTAGCAACAGGACCCTAAGTCCCTGCGTGCCTGGACTCCCCCTCCGCTTCAGCTGGACAAAAGCTCCTACATTTAGGGACTCATGTGACTAGGTGAGCCTCACGTAATAACCCAGGTCACTGCCCTGTAGAGTCCACAACCGGAGTCATATCTGCGCTGTCCCTTTTGCTGTGTAAAAGGTAACAGATTCAACAGATGCCAAGATTGTCAGAGGGCCATCCTGCTTACCACATTCCTTCAGAGCCCTTGTCACTAGCAGGTGTCTTATTTGCGTAGGTGTTTATTCTCCATTGGGCTTCCCTGGTGGCTCAGAGGGTAAAGCGGCTGCCTGCAATACGAGAGTCCTGGGTTCGATCCCTGGGTTGGGAAGATTCCCTGGAAAAGGAAATGGCAACCCACTCCAGTATTCTTGCCTGGAGAATCCCATGGACAGAGGAGCCTGGTGGGCTATAGGCAGTGGGGTTGCAAAGAGTCGGACACGACTGAGCGACTTCACTTTCACTTTCTTCTCCCCATGCAAGTGCCACACCAGCGGGACAGCATCTGGCATCTGTATCATTCCCTGCAGGGCCCCTGACCCTTTCTAGTGCTTGGCACGCAGTAGGCGTGGCACACAGTTTGTTCGATGAGTGTTATAGTGATTGCTGGACGCCCGGTGGAAAGGGCAACTTCTGCAAATCGCTGAAGGCTTCTCAGAGCTTGCCCCCCCCCACGGAGCAGATGGCAGGAGGTCAGGTAGGGAGACACCCGTGGCTCCAGTACCCTTGGCACTGACTTCTGACCAGCCCAGCCTCTCTGCCAGTGTCCCCGCCTCCTCCCAGAGCCCCCAGATGCTCAGTGTCTCCCTGCCTGAGGACCCCAGAGGGCAGGATCCTGAGGCTAGCTGGCGCCCTAAGGGGTGGTAAAGACTGCAGGCTAGCCCAGGAGGAGGCAGGGACAGCTGCTTCGGCTGGGTTCAAAGCCAATCCACCTGGGACTTCCAACAATTAATTTCCCCCATCTGCACAACGATCAGCTTCTGAGGGAAAACAATTAGCCCACTGCAAATTGTAATTGTCATCTAACTCCTGACTTTAATTTGGACTAATGAGGCTAAGTGATTCCCACTCCCTCCGGCTCCCGCTGTCCGGGCCCTGGGCCCTCACCTGGGCGGGCAGTTAACCCTTGGCTGTCTGCCTTGCACCAGAGACTTAGGGCCATTTGGAGGCTGGCCCAGGCCAGGGATGGGCCCAGCAGAGGCTGGCAGGAAGGAGAAAGGAAGAGAGTGCCTCAGGCCTGCAGGGAAGCTGCCTGTTTCCGACGATCAGAGTTTTATTGAACAGAATGGACTGCTGGCTCGCTCCTCTGTCACAGCCAGTTACCTCTGGCGCGCCGTCTCTGGGGACCCAGCGTCCGGGAGCCTCTCCCTCCCGCAGGCCGGGTGCCCCTGCCCACCCTCTCCACTCTCCTGAGCTGAAGCTGTTCTTCTCCACAGCCGGGAGAGTCACGGGGTTGGTGTGAGCGACTTGGCTTCATTCAGCTCAACCCTGCTCCTACTGCACAAACCAGGGCCGGAGCAGGCAGGGACGTGCTCAAGGTCACGAAGGGGTCCGGCCTCGGGAGGAGCACGCACCACTGTGCTGCTTATTGCTTACTCGCCTCTTGTCTCCTCGGGCGCGTCCTTGCTCTCTTGCCCATGGCTTGCCCCCGGCACGATGCCTGGCACCCTCACAGATGCAGGAAATGAGGCGCGTGCAACGTCCTGAGTCCACCAAGCCCCTCAGCCCACGTGGCTGCTTTGATTCATGCACTCACACTCGTTCATTCATCCATCACTGTCACTGCTGGGAACCACGCTAGATGCTCGAGCACAAAGACAAGACCCTTCGCGGCCCTCGAGGACCTCCCAGCCTTGTGGCTCTCGTGTGTGGGGCCGTTCGGCCCGGGACCCCCAGCCTCCGGCGGGTCAGTCTTCAGTGAGAACCGACTCTGACCTGACCGGCCGCAGGTGAGGGAGCGGGCCTCGGCCCCCACCTCTGCTGTGGAGCCACCCTGTCCCTGCTGCCTGCGGAGTTAGGTGTGGAGTCAGGAATTTGGACTCCTCATCCTGGCTTTGCACTGGCTCTCTCTGGCCTTCCGCAAACCCTCTCCTCCCTCCTGAAGCCAGGGCGCTGGGCTCTGGTGTCTGCACAGCGGCCTCTGGAGACACCCCACCATGGGGAGCTGGTGGGGCTGGTGGGAGGCCCCGGGCTCCTCAGGAGCAGCCTGGCTCCAGGCTGCCGCCACCCCCGTGACCTGAGCCCACAAGCCCCCGTCCCTGGCAGGTAGAATGGGGCGGGCGGTACGAGGCCTGCAGGTGAAGCTCTGCGCTGCAGCGGGCAGGCTTGGAGCCCCTTAGGTGACCGCTGGCGCCACAGGAGAGGAAGCGGGCCTTGCTGGCGTGCCCTGGTGGGAGCAGCGACTCGTGGGGAGGTGGAAACTGGTAGTCAGGAGAGAGGGACCTCTCAGAGCGTCCTCTCCCAGGCTTCCGTGGTGCCGGGCGCGTTGGCCACTGAGCTTTATCCCCCGTGATATCCTCATGATGGCAGCCTTGAGGGAGGCCACGGCTTCCTCTGGGCCCTGCCCTGGCCCCTCCGTCACCTCCTGAGGGAGACACAGGCGACTGCCCGTCTGCTGCCTTCTCTCTGCGTGCTCCCGTGGCCTGCCCATCCCTGGACCAGCCAGCCGCCGCCCGGGGTCGTTTCCTGCTCCTGCCCCTCTTGGCTTGGCTGGGCCGCCGGCCCGGGTCCCTCCTCTCCCGCCCCGGCCTGTGCCTGTGAGGGAAAGTCATGGGAATATCAGGACCCCTTCTGCTCTGAGGCCGCTTAGAGCTCATCACCGTCGGCCTGTTTGTTGTCCCTGAGGACGAGAAACCAGATGCCCCAGCGTGGCTGGTTCCTCACCCAGGACATCCCCACTGCGTCCCTGCTGCCGCGGCGTGGCCCATTCCCCAGGTGCCTGGGAACCGCCTCTGACACACACGGCTGCTTTCTCACAGCCACCCCAGCCTTCCCTCCACCTTGCCATGCACACCTGGTCCTTCACTTATGCTTGAACCTCACCCGCTGATGGGGCCGACGCAGCCTGCTCCCAGCTGGGGCTAGGGAGGGCGCGCCCCAACCCGGAAGTCTTACGCTGACCCTGACTGGGATCTCCATCAGTGCTTGTCAAAGACCACCTCCAGAGTGGGTTCAGCACACAGATTCCTGGGTCTCACCTCCAGAGAATGTGATTCCAGAAGTCTGGGTGTGTATAGGAATCTGCAGGATTAGTAAGTACCCGGAACCTGATTCTGGTGTAAGAGGACCGTGGACCACCCTCCGTGAAAGGTTGCTCGATCTAGATGTGGTGAGAAGAGCTCTCCCCTGCTCTTTAAGGCCTTGGAGCTCAGGGTCAGAGAGAGAAACCAGCCAGACTTGGTCGGGGTTCTGGAGTGTTGGCTCCCCCGAGGTCTTCAGGTTGCTGTCAGCACTCTCTTCCTGCCTGGGTGCCCCTGGTAATCCTGGTCTTCATCCTTATTCGTGCACGCCTGGGAGGTGGGCGCCTCAGCAGAGCAGAGGGGCTGGCTGTGGGCAGCATCTGGGAGCTGGCCCAGCTCTGTAGGAAGGGTATTTACTTCCCCAGGGACTCGGCGATGCTCTGATGCCATCCCACCTTCTTTAGATGAACTTTGAATCCCCCACTTGGGCTCGCGAGGCTGGTGTTGTGGGGGCTTCAGCATCGTGCCCCTGGTCCAGATCCCTGCCCAGAGTGGTGGTGTCTGCCACAAGGCACAAGCGCATCAGGCCACCCTAGGAGGTCAGGAGCATCACCACTGCACCTCCCTCCCGCTGCTGCTGCTAGTCCCTCTCAAAGACAGGTGAAGGAACAGTGCCCTGAAGTTAAGTAGTTCATGTTACGGGTCACAGAGCTTTGGGGCACACTCAGAAGTCATCTGCCCTCCCTTCATTTTACACTGGGAAAACCAAGGTGCAAGGGGTAACAGTTTCCCAGATTCTCACAGAGGGCCGATGGAGAAGTTAGGCCTGCAGCTAGTTAGTGATGAGAAAACCGAGGTGCAAGGGGTAACAGTTTCCCAGATTCTCACAGAGGGCCAATGGAGAAGTTAGGCCTGCAGCTAGTTAGTGATGAGACTTGGGCAGTGTCCAGTCCTGGCTCCTAGGAATAGGAAGGGGAAGTGTTGAGTGAGTGGTGGAGGTAGGATTTGGACCTACATCTTTTCAAACTGCAGTCTATGCTATTGCTCCTCAATAGAAATCTAATACAAACCACACTTTATATATGGAGTAGCCACATGAAGGGCTTCCCAGGTGACTCGGTGGTAAAGATCCTGCCTGTCAAAGCAGGAGACACAGGTTTGATCCCTGGGTCAGGAAGATCCCCTGGACAAGCAAATGGCAGCCCACTCCAGTATTCTTGCCTGGGAAATCCCATGGACAGAGGAGCCTGGAGGGCCAGTCCCTGGGGCTGCGAAAGAGTTGGGCATGACCTAGTGACTGAACAGCAGCAGCCACATTAAAAATGTAAAAAGAAACAGGTGATGCTGATAACATATTTAACCCAGTGTATCACCCCAGACTATCATTTCAACACGTAATGGGCGTAACAGCTTTACTAGCACTTTCACTCTTTTTGCACACTAACCTGTGAGCTGGCGCAGCTGGCAGTGCACTGCACGTCTCAGGCTGGACTGGCCACGTCCACATCTGGTGGGTTCAGTGGCCGCGGGGGCTGCCACGTTGGGCGGTGTGGGCCTAGGTTTCGCAGCCACTCATTTCTGCTGCTTCGCCTGGTGACTCAGCAGAGACAGCAGAGCTGCCTCCTGGCCCCTGCCGCCCTGACTCCCCGCCGTCCCCGGGGCCCTCCTCTTCCTTTGGGCTCTCAAACGGGATTGTGGTCTTCCTTCCCTCTCGCCCGCCCATCTTCCCATCCACCTCTCTCATCCCCCTTCTCCTGAGTCTCTCCTGGAGGACTTGTTGTCAAACAAGAAACCTTTAAATAGGTGAGACAAAGGTGACAAATGTCCCTCATTTACATTCAGGTCCTATCTGGCTTTCTTGGCCCCGTTGAATGGCACTTCTATCAAAACATCTCATTTGGAAATGTCAGTGTGCTTTTTGATAACTCATCAGTCACTGTGATGGCGACCAGCAGACGGGAAACAGCGTGGTGGCATCGAACACGCTGCGGAGCCGCTCTTCTGCAGTTGCGTAGTATTTTACTTATTCAACGTGGCATGAAATCTCTCCTGAAGGAAAGACGTGATTAACCCTGCCACACCAGGCCCGTCAAGGCCTTCTTTTCTCCTTAACTTGACAGCCTCACTTTTGCCTCCTTGTGCCTTTTCTACCTGGAGTCAGGATCTCGCGGTCACCAGGGGCCCCAGGGCACCTCCCCTCGAGTGGGAGGCAAGCCAGCTGCCCTTCTGGCACCCGAACAGGAGCTGTGAAAACTGCCCAGCTGCCGCAGGACCCTGGCTCTGAATCCAGGCACCAGGGCTGCCCATGAATTTCACCTGGACCTAGAACAGTTCCCGTGTGCAAGGAAGGCTGGCGTCCTCCACAGTCACTGTCCACTCTGGTGTGGTTGCTGGTCCTCCATCTCCCCCTCTCTACATCCCACGCTTCCTCAACTCCTGCAGAGTCCCCGCAGGACTGCGCCCCCAGTCATGCACTAACCAGCTGCTTACGGTCCTGATTTCCTGTCAATTTCACCAGAAACAAGAGTAGATTTTTGAAAAGGAGCATTAAACATTTAAGAAAAATGATAATGCACATGCAAAAAAAAAAAAAACACAGGAGTCTCAAGTTTTCCAGATCACGTTTCTGATAGAAAATAAAGGTACTGAAATCTGAGATGGGCTGGTTCCGTCCAAGCAGCTGGCCTCTGGCTCCTTCCTTCCTTTCATCCTTGTGTGGAGTTCCCCTCTCCTCTCACTCTGAAGGGCTCCCTCCCCTTCCCCACACTTCCTCCCCAGCCTTTTGGGGCTGAGACTTGGGCCAAGTAGTGCAAGTAACCAAACATGGCGTAGAAGCAAGTGCAGGCAGAAGCCCCTGGGTTTTTCGCTGCTGTGCTGAGGGCCATTCCCCTCTGGTACTTGGAGACGGTGATGGCCGTTCAGAGGCCCTCCTGTGACCCTGAGCCCATGTGAAAGCCGTTCAGAGGCTCTCCTGTGACCCTGAGCCTGTGTGAAATCCCCTGACCCACATCTGGGCATGCGGGAGGAGAGGTCAGCCAGACCTTCCTCCATCCCTTCTCTCTTCATTGGTGTTGAAGGGGAAATATCACACAGGCACACACGTGCGTGCACACAGTCTTTCAGTGTGAGCCTTTCCCCATTCCTTCTCCCTGTGGGTGCTGTGTTATGATTTCTGCAGAAGACAGCATCTTGGGAAGAAAAGGGCTCTGGCTCCGGTTTCAGCTCTGTGCAGCTTCTTGCCTGGCTCTGGGCCGGTGAGTCGCCTCTGAGCGTCAGTGTCCTTGCCTGTGAAGTGAGTGGAGGATGCCAGCCTCTCAGAGCTTGCCCGCACACTGCCAGTGTTCCTGATGGTTAATTCCCCTCCTCTCGCCCTTCACATCCACTTCCTCCTGATGCAGGTGCAAGGTGGAGAAGGGTCTGCAGTGATTGGCAGAAACCCTGTGCCCTGGTCCCGTGGCTTGAAATAGGCACGTGCAGATCTGCCTTCTAATTGTCACCCACTACTCGTCTAGTCTAGACACAGGGTTAGACCTGCCCCATCAGGGCCCCAGCTGGCCACCTTTTAATGGGGGGCCATCCCTTTTCAGGAAGCCTCCTGTTAAGGGCAGCCCCACTGCCAGGCATGGGCAGTCACACCACTTGTTCTTTTACCCCCAACCCACATTTATTGAGCACCAGTCATGTGCCAACCCCTGTGTGAGGTGAAGGGGAAGCCGGGCGGAGCAGGCCCAGCCCCTGCCCTGGAGAAACTCGGGCCCAGGAGGCAGCCTCCCTATGGCTGCTGCTCAGCTAGGGTTGGTGCTGGGGGAGGGAGAGGACGGAGGGCAAGGATGTCACAGAGGAGGTGACAATTGAGCTGACGCTGGACGATAATAAGAGTTCCCCAGTAGCGAATGGAAGGGCATTCCAGAACAAGTTAAAAGGACTGCAGGCAGAGAAGGGACCATCCAGTTCCTGTTCAGCTCAGGAAATGAGAGGAGGGGAGACCCTGCAGAGGGGGTGGGGATGGATGGGGCTGGGGCTGCTGCTCGAGCAGCCAGGGGTCTGCGTTTGGTCAAGGAGAGCTGGTGCCCTCCCTCATCACAAGGAGAGAGCTGAGGCAGATGGAGCGCCCAGAGGAGAAGGGGGCCCCAGGGACGCATGAAGGATCGGGAGATTCGGCAATGTGGGCAGAAGTAGCTTCTGGCCCATTCACATGTTACCAAAAAGCCGCTCTCCCCTGCGGCCCCTTTTCTCTGGTACTGCACTAGTGAAGCAGGAGGATGTAGGTGTGCATGTCATACCCATGTCTGCTGGGATATAGAACTCATTTGTTGAACGCCTGCTGTGCACCAGCACTGTGCCAGATTTTCTGTCAGTATTACTTCATTCAGCTCAGTTCAATTGCTCAGTAGTGTCTGACTCTACGAACTCACGGACTGCAGCACACCAGGCTTCCTGTCCATCACCAACTCCTGGAGCTTACTCAAACCCACGTCCATCAAGTCAGTGATGCCATACAGCCATCTCATCCTCTGTCGTCCCCTTTTCCTCCCACCTTCAATCTTTCCCAGCATCAGGGTCTTTTCCAGTGAGTCAGTTCTTCACACCAGGTGGCCAAAGTATTGGCACTTCAGCTTCAGCATCAGTCCTTCCAATGGATATTCAAGGCTGATTTCCTTTAGGATGGACTGGTTGGGTCTCCTTGCAGTCCAGGGGACTCTCAAGAGTCTTCTCAAACACCACAGTTCAAAAGCATCAATTCTTTGGCACTCAGCCTTCTTATGGTTCAACTTTCACATCTATACATGACTACTGGAGAAACCACAGCTTTGACTAGATGGTTGGATGGCAACACTGACTCAATGGACATGAGTTTGAGCAAGTTCTGGGAGATGGTAAAGGACAGGAAAGCCTGGCGTGCTGCAGTCCATGGGGTTGCAGAGAGTCAGACACAACTAAGCGACTGAACAACAACCTCACTGAATCCTTGATAACCCTGTGATACATTATTCCCATTTTACAGATATAGGAATTGATGCTCAGAGAGGTTAAGTAATTTGTTCAAGGTCACACAGCTAGGAAGAAGCAGAAGTAGGATTTGAACTCAAGTCTTTGCTATTCTGAAGGCTGTGTTCTCTCCACGCTGCTGTGTAAAGCGTTTGGTCCCCAGCTTCCTGAGCCTGTTCTTCATCTAGCCCCTGGGGTTCTGGAGGGATTCATATGACTTTGATGCTGCCTTCATCATTAGAAAGCTGTCACTGGGGTGACAGAGAACAGCAGATGCGGAGCTGTCACAGCGGGAAAAAGGCGACAAGGAAGGCGCTTCCTCCCTGCCGCTCGATTGGAGGCAGCCACAGCCCTGCCTGGTGAAAGCCTCCCTGTCACAGTTGTGCTCCTGCTATGTCCCCAGAGTTGTCCTAGGCCCCTTCTTCAAACCGGTGGGCTCCAGGCCTCAAAATCCTCTGCTGGTTTCTGAAGGATGCAGAGAATTGTATGGAAAGGGGCCAGTCCATCCTCTTCAGAACTGACCAAGGAATAGAGCAGTGGTCCTTAACATTTGGGGCCATCGACCCCACGCAGGGATTTCTGCACCTTCTCTCCAGAGAGACATACCTGTATGCTCACACTCACGTGCACACACACACACATGATTTCAGGTATTTTCCAGGCTCTTCAGTCCAACTGTGGACTCGAGATTAAGCAGGCTTTCTCTCTGGAGATGCAGGGGATATGTTGATGATAAACACAGTTGCTGACTGTGTTTACCCTTCTGACCCTTTCCTCGTCCTATGGCTCCTGGAGGAAGCAAAGGAAATGTCACTCAAATTCAGTAATTGCTTTTCAACAGTGTCTTTGGGGAGGTGAAGCCACGGGCCGCTTGAGAGTTCTGGCTTCTCCGTATTTAAATTGCCAAGGCCCTTCACCGTCTGTGAGGGCTGCACAGGCTGCCTGGGCAGCTGGGAGTGCGCTCTGCCTAAAAGTCTGCCAGGATGCCGGATCTCGGAACTTCGGGAGCGCTCCTTGTCCTGGGTTCCCTGAAGATTGCTCTGGAGGAGCAATTGCCGTTGCCGCGAGGCTCCGAGGACCTGCGCCTCCCCCTCGGCCACCGCTGGAAGCTCCCGTCCCTCCCTGATGGGAAGCACGTGCACTTGTAATAGAGCTGCCTAATCACTTGTCTAAACTAGACATTTGGTGTGTAATGACTCCTGGCTGCAACCAGAAAGAGCCATCAGCCTTTCTGCAGGGACCAGACCTGCCAGCTGTGGCTCCATTGGCTGGAGGAGTGGGGCCGTCCTCCCGAAGGTAGCACCCCTGTGTAAGGAGCCCAGAGAGGGGGTCACCTTTCAAGGTTGGGCAAAGACGGCTGACACCCCACTTCTTTCTTCACATGCTTGCCTCCTCCTGGGCACGGGGTGAGCCCAGGATGGGAAGGAGTGAGAATGTGGGATGGCGGGGTGCCGGGGGTCATTTCCCACCTCTGCTAGTGACCCGAGGGGGCAGCTTCTGGAACAGTGGGCCTGTGGAATTGTGGGCCTGCCTTGCCGGCCGGCTGGAGAATACAGGAAATCTGGCAGGGCCTGAGGCTTCCCAGGCTCGGGGGTATGACTGGAAAGCCAGCAGATTTGCTATTTGCCCAGAGTTTTGAGATCTGGGGGGAGAGACGCTGGAGAAATATAAGCCACAGCTGTGTTAATTATTATTATTTTTATCATTATTACAGAGGAGAATGTTCTCTTGTTAATTCCCTGGGAAAACAAGCTGGCACCACTCAGGCCTTGAGCCCAGGAGAGCAAGCAGTGGTTAAAGAAAAGTAGCCTCCGTATCTGCTCTGCTCCGAGCTGGTTCACCTGGCCGGCTCTGTGCCTCTCACCCGCACATATGCACACACACAGACACACATGCGCCCTCACATGTGGCATAGCCCCTGAAGCGCTTGTTCTCGCGTCAATGGGAGAAAGCTGGCCAGGCCAGAGCAGAACCGCGTCAAACTCGCGGAGAAGACCCCTGCTTCTGTTATTCTGGAGTTTCAGTCGATGAGCGCTTTGAACACACCCACCATCCACAAATGGGCTCCCTCGCGGCCTGGCACGTGGTGTGGTGAGGAGCCAGGGCCCAGCGCCACATGGCTGGACTTGTGTCGTGGCTTCTGCGCGTGCCAGCTGTGGGGCCTGGGCGGCAGCTTCACTTCTCTGAGCCCCCATTTCCCCTGCCGTGCGTATGCCTGCCACCCTCAGAGGGCTGTTCACGTGGGTTAGAGAAGAGAGAAACTTTGGGAAAGGCCCCGGACAGAGTAAGTGTTCAGTAAATTGTACCTGCTAAACTTCAGAGCAGATGTTCTTTCCCATTTTACAAGGGAGGAGCATCTGGGGCTCAGGGAGGAGGTCCCCTAGTTGGTAAGTGGTAAAGCTGCTGTTTCTTTGGGAGATTTCCGTGGGGCAGTGTGGACCTGGGCCTCCCACTGCAGTCAGCTCCGTCATCCCTGGGCTGCACACACACACGGCCACCCCTCTGGGGACCGCTCCAAGAGCTGACCTGGACTGCAGCTGCAGCTGCCCCCAGCCTCTGCCAGGTGGGGGCAAGGGTGTGGAGACAGAGGAGACCCCCAGCCAGATGGCAGCATCGGGAGCTGGTGGGGGCAGGGAGAGGGGTGATGGATGACCTGCAAGGTGGGAGAGGGGCAAGGAGAGAGGGCAGCAGTGAGAACAGGTGGAAGCTGGGAGAAGGTGGGCCCCACTGGCTCCCGGGGAGCCCGTGGCCGGGCTGCCGCTCCATTTGCTCAGACAGCTGGATGCCCCTTCCAAGAGGACTTCCTGTTGGTAATAATAAAACAACCTTAAGCTTGGTGGCAAATCCGGCCACTAAATTTACCTCTCAATATAATATGATTGTGAATTTGTGGCACATGAATTATATCTGAAAACCATTATTTATATATAATTATATAATAATTATATATACTGCACATACATATATATGCACATGCATATGCATATACTTGCATATATGTGTGTCTGTAATCACACAGTCATGTTCAACTCTTTGCAACCCTTTGGACTGTAGCCCTCCAGGCTCCTTTGTACATGGAATTCTCCAGGCAAGCATACTGGAGTGGGCTGCCATGCCCTTCTCCAGGGGATCTTCCCAATCCAGGAATCAAACCCACATCTCCTGTGTCTCCTGTATTGCAGGTGGATTCTTCACCCACTGAGCCACTGGGGAAGCTCTGCATGCATATAAAATATATAAGTTTATAAATATATAAAATGGGGTTGTTAAGGCCACTGGTTCTTGACCCTTCCTAGTTGTATGATCTTGGGCAAGAAGTTTAAGTTCTTTTAGCCTCAGTTCTCTCATCTGCACAATGGGGAGAATATAATGTTTGTTCTGAGGATTTAAAGAGGTAATGAGGGGCAAGTCCCTGGCAAAGAAACAGTCCTTAGTGAAATTGCTTTGCATCTGCTTTAGTTGGACAAGGGGTATGCATTGCCCCTTGTTTAAGATCAAGGAAAGTGAGCCCCAGAGGGCTGTCTGCAGACCTGGAGGGCAGGCGCTGTTGGAGCGCTGACTGTTTGCAGAGTGAAAGGCGTTTTGCCCCTTCCTGGGAGAGGCACAGCTCTGGGAGGCTGAGGAGGGTGGCCCTGTGGCCCCGGGGCCGACTGGACCCTCAGTGGGCTGAGGGCCCCCCCAGAGCTGCCAGGGTGGGCTTCTCACACCAGAGGGACCCTTACAAGTAAGGAGCTGAGGGAGCTGCTGGTGGGGGGGTGGGGCGGGGTGGCCACAGGTGGGGTCCTTGGTGGGCATGTGAGCCCCAGACACCCTCCTCCAGCTGGGGCCAGGAGCCTGGGTGGGCTCCCACTTGGAGCAGATGAGCTGAGATGCATTTTCTTAGCAAGATGTGCCTTTTTAACCCCAACTGCTCTCTCATCAGGAAGTTCTTCTCCACATCCAGTCTCAGCATCCTATGGCCTTTCACCTGCTTTCCTGACCTTTGGTTCTTAACAGATGGGCTTGGCTTCAGATGCCCCCAGCCAGCTTCCTGGAGGCAGCCAAGAAGTGGGTTGAACCCCCGCATGTGTCGGTCCAGGTATGACCTTGCGTGGGGCACATTCACATATTCCCGCGTGGTGGGTCAGGAGACCAGGGTCCTGGAGAATCCCCATGCCCGCCCCAGCTTCACCCTGGAATTACTTTCCTAGCTGGGCGCTTGGAGTGGAACCCGTTCTGAAGGCTGAAACAGGAACACGCCACCAGCCTCAGGAGCTAACAGGGAGCCTCTGCAGGCAGACTGTCTGGGCTCGCTTCTCTGCTGCATACTACTTACAAGATCCTGGGCAAGCTCTGTAACCTTTTAAAGCCCCGGTTTCCTCATCTATAGCGTGGGAATGCCAGTAGTTCCTACTCCGAGGGTTTCGGGCGATTCCGTGAGATCCTGCGTGGGAAGCACCGTGCTGGGTGCCATGTAGGTGCCGAGGCTGAGTTTGGAGGCCTGGCCCTGCGGCACCGCCCTGTGAGTGGTGATGCCCACGGTCAGTGCTGGTCATCAGCTCCCAGACTGCGGCCGGCAGGCTCTCTGCCGGGGCCTGGCGCTCGGGCTGGGGGAACGGGCAGTCGCAGCTGGGGGCCCCTACACTCAGTGAATGCATTCATGAAGCAGAAGGGGGGCCAGAAAAAAGCAAAGAAGAGGAAAGAAACACCAGCAAATTCTCCTCTGTTCTCCCCCAGCTCTGCAGCTCCTGGGGGAACTGAGCTGCATAATACAATGGGATTTAATAAAATGCCTTTAACTCACAAAGTTTGTCTGCTGCCAGCTCCTTAATTAAATTGCCTAATGCTGCTTTGCGATGGCAGCACAGACTCCTGTGTTTAAAGAGCGTGGTGTTGCCATGGCGCTCTCCCGGAAGGGCCAGCCGGCCTGGAGGAGCATACAGATGAGACGGGGGCCTGGCCCTGCCCGCAGCGTCCGCCGCGCCACACACACCCCAGAGACACACACACACCAGACACACACACATACCAGACACACACACACCCCAGAGACACACACACACCAGACACACACACATACCAGACACACACACATACCAGAGACACACACACCAGACACACACATACCAGACACACACATACCAGACACACACACACCAGACACACACACCCCAGACATACACACATACCATACACATACCAGAAACATACACACACTACAGGCCTGGCCCCTGCCCACAGTGTCTGCCCCACCACACACACACACACACACACACACACACACACTACAGTATACCCTGGTGTTCCTGGGAAAGGATTGAATCCCTGCCAAGAACGCTAGCTGAGGCTTTAGAAAGGGGAGACCTGGGGACACTGAGCAGAACGGAGCTGGCCTGCTGGCGTGGTAGTGGTCCTGGGCCCCGCCCTGGCACTCGGGCAGCCCCTCAAGGCCTGGGAGCCGGTATCTCCCCAGCCACCGCTCCTACAGGCAGTCACTCCCTCTCCCCTGGTGCCCACCCAAACACCCAGGGAGGGCCGGGAAACGCTGGTCGAGAGTCCGAGTTTGATGAGAAAGGGGTAGGATATTCTTTCACACATGGAGGGTGGAGGAAAGAGACGTTCACTTGCTTGTGGAATTTTCCTTTAGATGCAGTGCTTCTCAGTAAAACCAGTTGGGTATTTTCCCCCTATACTTTATTGTGAAAAATTTTAAATATTGTATCACAGCAAAGTTGACGGAATTTAACAGTGAGCAGCCATATACTTGCTACCTAGATTCTACCATTAACCTTGGATGAGACTTGCTTTATCACGTCTCCTCCCATCCATCAATCCGTCTTATTTTTCCTGCATTTTAAAGTAAATTGCAGGTATTAGTACATTTTCCCTAAATGCTTCAACAACAGTGGAGTTCAACTTTATTTTACAGATTTGTTTTTTATGTAAAATTTTCATGCAAATAAATTCTGGGGGGTTTTCATTCCATGCCTGCGTTGTACCCCCAGAGACTGGTTTAACTGGTCCAGAGTGAGATGCAGACATGAGTATATTTTAAAAGATCCTCATATGAATCTCTAGTGCAGCTGGAGTTGAAAAGCAAAGATAACAGGAGGCAAAGAGTTATCATTTTTATTTCCCCCAAGGAGAATGCGAAGCTCTGGTTGCCTGTCCCCTGTTTACACTTCCAGCCCCACTTCCCTTCCCCCAATACCCTGTGTGTATGCATCACACGTCCACATTCATGCTACTTTTAGGGTGTACATGTGAACCCACTCATGCTCATGTTAGCCTTACAGGGTCTCTTCATCTATATTTCCAGTGGCAAAATCCGTATCTGTTTCAGATCGTGTACAAGTCACAGAGATGAACCTGAACAAATCTTAGGATGATCAGGGAGCTCAACGGTGACCAGGACTGAGGCAGCGGATGCAGGGATGATGATGCTAGTGAAAGGTGTTCTCAGTGACGTGTGGTGATGACGATGAGTGAGGGAGTCCTGGCATCACCGCTGAGGATGAGGGCGATGACAGGAGCTGATACTGATGGAGACGGGGTGCTGTAGGCGGGGGGCCACCAGCGTGGCGTCCATCCCAGGTGACCGCCTCCTGGTGGCAGTCATCACATGCTGCTGCTGTTCCCTTCCTGTGAGGGCGTGCAAACAGACGCTCACTCACCACACTGACACCCATCTGGGGAGAATGTTGGTCAGCATACGGCAGGAATGTGGGTCCCGCCACCTGAGAACCCCACTGCTGCAAAATGCACTCCTTCCCAAACGCCGAGAGGTCACCTGAGAGCCCAGGACGAGACCCTGACAGAGCAGCAGCCGCGCAGTCGGCTGCCCTGTCTCGCTGTGCTTTAACAAGACACAGCTCTAGCGTTAAGGACAGGCTTACCATTAGCAACATTTATTTAAGTTGACCAGCTCTGAGCCAGCTGGACTTGGGATGCCAGCCATCTCAAGATCGATAGAGATTTTATTTGCTGCCTTCGTGGTTTCCTGTTCCTTTCATGCCTGGTAAGCTTGAGTGAGGACAGAGGGAAAGGGCTCGGGTTCCTCCCTGAGGCAACAGGGGGCAAAAGGGTGCAAAGCCCAGCACTCCTGTCTCACCACAGCACTTAGCTGGCCCCCGTCTGCATTGTCCTGGGCTGCTGGGATGAGAATGAAGTTAGGATGCTAAGGTGTGCTACTGTAAATATATACATATATATATCAAATATATCTCAACATATATATGTATAAGGAATTGATAGAAAAATATCTTAATGTTGTTCAACCCTTTCATTTTACAGATGAGAAAACTAGGGCCAAGTGGGCAACAAATAAAATCCCTGTTGAGAACAACAATAAAAATCCCTTTCACGTATGTAATATTTCTAATGTGGCAAAGACACTTCACACCTGTGATCTGATTGGATCTTTAAACCAGCCCTGTGAGTTGGCAAGGACCTTCCTGCCCATTTGACAGATGGCTCCTGAGTCATTCCCAGATTTTTTCCACTAGCAGTTAAGCCTAGGTGGTATATCACAGCCCATAGCATATTTCACACTCATGTTTTCATTAGATCTAAACCATATCTCTGGACAAAAGACGGAAGGCACTAGTCTAAACCCCATTTCTCAGAAGTGAAAACTGAGGCTCATGGAGATTAAGCATTTTGCCAGGCTTGTACAGTTAGTAAGTGGTAGAGTGACATCCAGAATCTAGGATCCCAGCATAAGTTTGCTGGGGCTGCCATATCAAGTACTACAAAGTAGACTGGATGGCTTAAACAAGAGTAACTTAATCGCCTTGGGTTCTGGAGGCTAGAAATCTGAAATCGGTATGTTGACAGGGCGGCAGGGGTGCAGTCTTCCTGCAGCCTGGAGGGGAGACTTCTTCCCAGCCCCTGGTGCTGTCTTCCTCGGCTCAGAGCTGCAGCGCTTCAATTGCATTCTTCATCACCTCACTGAATTCTCCTTGTGTCTCCGTGTCTGTATCCAAGTTTACCTCTTCTTACAAGGACACCAGTATTGGATTAGGGCCCACCCTAACCTAATATAACCTCATTTTTACTTGGTTACATCTGCAAAGACCCTGTTTCCAAATTAAGGTCGCATTCACAGGATCTAGGAGTCGGTCTTCGTTGTATCTTTTGGGGGGGATACAGTTCAATCCATAAGGGTCCAGTGGTCTGCAATGCTGTTTGCATCCTGTGCTTCATCCCACCCATTTTCTCCTCCGTGGCTGCTTCTACCAAGGATGAGACACTCCCCTCTCCTGCAGTGCAGAAAGTGGGGCTGGCTTGGAGCGCTTTTCACCTTCCGCTCTTCCCAAACGATTACAGGCTACTAGGGTGGAATCATGAAATAGAGGCAGGCTTTTTGTCTTTTTTATTCTCAGACAGTAAAAATCATTAAGACTTGCTCTTAATTAGTTTCATTTCGAAGCTTCTAAATATTGATTTAACCTACACTCCTTTGTACTTGCTGCAGTCACTGAATTATGCCTGATATTGATCATGGGATGGGAGTGTTTTCCTCCACCAGGCCCGGGGCCCTGGAAGGCCGTGGTCCCTCAGTGGGTTTTTGGGGCTCAGAAGGCAGTGATGGGCTTGGAGGCAAGAAGCCCCTGCCAGGTTGGATAGGGCCTTCCTCTCCCAGAAGGGCTATTCAGCTTAGGCCACGGCCCAGTTTCTCTTGGGCTGGCCCATGCTTGGGGGAATTTGATCAGCTGGAAACCTCCCATTCCTTTCCAGGCCTGAAGAGAGCCAGGCAGGGGGAGCTGGAGGTGCTGTGGGGTCAGGGTTTAGAGTGTGGGCATTGGCAGCCTCCAGACCTTGTTTGACTCCTAGCTTTACCAGCTGGATGTTGTTGGGCGAGGGACCTATCCTCTCACATCTATGAAATGGGGCTAGTAATCCCTTTATCTTGTGGTTTTGAGCATTGAGTGTGACCACTCATGTCAGAGCCCAGCCCACGGCCTGGCTCATAGAGTCCTCAGTCAGTGGCTACCATTATTAACACTGCTGTCCCTCTGGGATAATAAATCTGGATTTGGAAGCACACACTGTCTTTTCGCTGTGGCTCCATTACTTGTTTGCTATATGATCTTGGGCAAGTCGCTTAATATCCTTTCCATTAAAATGCGAGTGATGACATCTATGACCCTGCCAGCCTACTGTGAGACTCACACAGGATCATGGAGGAGGAAGAATTTAAACTGTGAGGTGCATACGGTCATAAGGGGTATTATTGATGACTACA